ATACTATATAAGCTGGCTACCGTTGCTCATCTGGGAATAGAGCTACAACGTTAGCGACGGCCTATGTATTTTTTTCAGATTTGTGTATGATCTTTTGTTTTTCATTTTATATTGTACATTGCTCATGAAAGCTTACCCATCATGTAAATCTTGGTAAAATATCATAGCAACTCACGAAATTTTGAATCGAATGTGCTCCTTTTATTCATCGGTGCCGATTATAGAACTGGATTTCATATCTTGCTCTAGATCTCTGAAGCCCTATGATTCTTGGGTTGTTGGGAAGCAAAGTCTTCATATTTTGAATATAAAAGTTTAAGACATGAATTGGACTTCCCGGGGGCATTTTCTTTTCGCTAAGGGTGCCAAGGAAAAGAAACCATATGCGCCTGAGGAGGCAATTACAATGAAATCAGTGACTTGTTTGCCTACTTTAAATGTTTAATTTTCTCAAATCTGTGTCCAGCATAACCCAAGAGAAGCCACCATTGTTGTAGCTTTCATTGCGATCCATCTATCTCCTTCCAGACCAAAAAGAGAAAGATAGAAAGTACGCAGATATAGCTTCACATGCCCAACAGGAAAACATTTGACACTAAGTATAAAACACTTTAAACAGCACCCAGAGCAACCGCAAGGGCATCTAACGCCCACGGCGTGCACCGCGCCGTCCACCCCGCTAGTACATATAACAAAATCAGCCACTTCCCCTAAAAAAGAATCAGCTACTTCTACATATATTGGTTATAAGTAAAAAAGAGTAACACGCCTTGAAAGAAAATGCAAAAGAAACAGCGATCAATGTAATCTTCTTCAACAAAAATAAAAGAAAAATCACGCTTCTCTAAAGTTGTGTCACGATGTGTCAGCCACATGAATCTTCTCGCACAGCAGGCGCGGTCAGCAATCTTCAAATCATTCAAAAAGGTCACATGAATCTCGACTTGTCCTTATGTGTATGATAATTATTCTACATTAGATCAACCAAACATACAAGGGTCTAAAGAAATACATAAATGATGCAAGCTCCTCGCATGCTCGATGAATTAATTGTTTTCAGGTAAAAAAAAACACGAAACAAGAAAATAGGAGAAGCAGGACCAAAACAAAACTTTGCTAGAGATCCGGAGGAAAAGGCCACATGGGAGGATATTTTATCACCGCCCGACACATAGTGCCCCACTCACGTGATGCCCTCCTCATCTTTGTCAACACTTTCATCTTTCTTGTAGTACACATGACAACCATCACTGTCCATACTCGTCAAGAACACCTTGGCGTCCTCGGGCAAACAATCTTTTTGTGGGTAGCAACGATGGTGGGAGTAGTAGATGTGGTTTCTCTGCGGACTTCCATGCTCACACGTCGACACATACATTGCCTTGGAGAATGCCGACCCCAAGAATAAGGCTTGGTCGCATAGGCTCTTCACATGTTCCAATATATACGCGCCATGTCCGACATCAACTAACTTGAAAACCATGAAAAAATCCCCCCTATTGTTGGGTGACCGCCAATCCCATCGTCTTTTCTTCCTTGTCGCTATCATGATCTTGCCACCTAGCTCGATAATATACACGACACACTCATCCGGATCACCATCACCCTGCAAGTACAACCACCGGTCATGTATATCCAACCATTGAGGATCACCTTTGAACACGCCATTTTTGATTAAGCCAACCTCAAACCTAACGATATTCATCGTTTCTAATACGAGGCAATAAAGATGGCCGTTGCAAAAGGCAATATCCAAGACCGTCGTCCCAGCAAATCCTTGTGGCGTCCATGCAGACTTGGCCCACAGATTGCGACTTCAGACCTGCCGATGATGGCAGTGAGGATACAGCCGCTCGAGGTGGGCGGCTCGGAGAATATTACCTTCAGCGGAACAAACAGGTTGGCGCGCGGGCGTAAACGGATGATACTCCTTTGCTTCGCTGAGAGCGGCACCTCGACACCAGAGAAAAGGTTCACTATCCTCGGAGCTTCGGAGATGGCGGCCCATCCACCATCGTGGCCGCCAACGATGCGCCCGCCAACGGCCTCATCCGGAAACCAGAAGCGCGAGAGGATGATGCCGTACGTCCTCAACGCAGTACACATGCTTCCCCTTATCGTTGCTCCCCGGATTAAGGATCAGCCACGGGTGGACACGGCAGCAAGGCGGACACGGTCGACGCTGTTCGCGAGTTTGGCGTAGACCAGGCTGAGAATATCGTCAGGGAGAATTGACCACCTCTCCGCCACCGCCGTCACGGTCCAGCCCTCGATGCTGCTGCCGCCGTCGTCGCCGGCAGCTGCCTTGTGCGTCGGCTCCTCCTCCATCTTAGTGTCCGTGTGCGTGCGCCTGCACGATTGTAATAATCGTTTATTGTTCGGCCGACGAGACAAACTGTATATAAGAGGTCGGTGACAAACCTAAGCGGACACGACGATTGGGCTTCGATAGGCTTTGCTTCTGGGCCCGGCCCAGCTCGGCCCACTCCGCCCCTTCGTTTTTCTACTACTACTAGTCTCCATCTGGGCGAAGGCGAGACCAGACCTCACCACCGCCGCCGTCGCCTGCTCTCCCCGCTCGCGCCGCCCGCCCTAGAAAAGCCCGCGACTTTCTCGCCGCCGCCACCCCCCGCCGCCGCAGGGATGGCCGAGGACACGGAGACGAGGCCCGCGTCGGCGGGCGCGGAGGAGAGGGAGGAGGGGGAGATCGCGGACGACGGAGACGGCTCCTCCGCCGCGGCGGCGGGGCGCATCACCGCCCACCCGCTCGAGAACGCCTGGACCTTCTGGTTCGACAACCCGCAGGGCAAGTCCAGGCAGGTGGCCTGGGGGAGCACCATCCACCCCATCCACACCTTCTCCACCGTCGAGGACTTCTGGGGGTACCGCCTCCCTCCCTCCCCTCATCCCCAACCCGATCCCCCTCTCGTTTATGTGGTCCGATTGGATCCTCTCCCCTAAGATTGGCGTCGCTGCGGCGGCTGGGTGGGTGAAATTTTGATGCTTGGATGTGCTAGGTTTAGTGGATGCGATTGGGACTAGGCAGGTAGCCATTGTTTTTGCGTTGGTCAGTTTATTGCGGTCCATGTATGAGGGGCAGCGCCGTGGTTAGTGGTTAAAAGCGGCCAGGGTTTCCTTGTAGCTTGCAAGTGAAAGCGTCGTAGCGTTTTGTCCGGTGCGCACGCCTGGGTTTGAGATTAGGAGGAGGCTTACATAACAGCACCTCGTTTCATAGGCAGGAAGTGGACACTGTGTTCTGATTGATGCATATCTTCAAGCTTGGTACTTGTTGATGCCTAATAGGAATTCATGCTGTGTTCATTCATTTACTCTTACCATGATTATTTGATGGAAGTGTTGTTGTAGTGTCGTGTATTATGCTGTCTTTTTGTTCTGGTTGTCTCGGTGTACATTGAGGACAATTTTCGTTTTGGGCTTTGGTAGGTGACTACATATTCTTATCATTAGAATTTGTGATGCATCCAAATGTATCTCTTTGTGCTTCTGTTAACCAATAATGCTTGTATTAATTTCTTGACCGATCACTCAGTCACACATATGGCTGAAAAAATCTAATTCGTCATTTTCTTATTTCTCTTGTGTTTCTTTCTATTTTATGAACTTTTTTAGCATCTATGGAAATGTTGGGAAAAAATTCTGAAATACTTGGACGTGGAAATTCGAGATTACGTTTCTTTTCCGGTTGTATAGATTCAACTGCAAGCTTCGGTTTTAAGAATGATAATTCTATATGTGTAAATTCAGTTGTCTTGAATTAGCCTATTGTTCCTAACAATGAAGGATACCCGAAGACTGCAAGTTAGATTCCCTGCAAGACATTCATCTTAAGTTGACGCACGACGCATTCATAAGTTATCCTAAATTATTTATCCAAACCTATTGATCATTAACTTAGATTTTCCTGTTCTATATCTCCATGAATCTAGGAACTTTTGCTTGCATTGTATTATTTGGTCTACGTACCGGAACTGATAACATTCGAGATTATGCAGGATTATACACGAAAGATCCTTTTCTGGCTCTCTCTCTTTAGCTTCTAGATATTTATGTTAGACTTTAGGAGGAACTAGTGTTACATACAGCTAAGATTACTAGAATACTCAATGTTCTATTGTAGTCTTAAGAAATTCTGTAGGTGAAGTTTGTGTAATATGGTACTCATACTTGGCACCTCTAAAATCTAGTTTATATTAACTAAAAGTATACTTATGTTTACGGATCTAGTCCGATGAGAAATTTCAGCCACCTGCAAGCATGCCATGTTCACAGATTCGAGATAGTCCATTAAGCTGCTGCATAGTGTGTATTGCCTGACACTGTAGCTTGTCTTCACCTGTTTACCAGATTATATACGATACTCACGAAATATATTTCAGGATGATTTCTTTCGTGCTAATAGCTTGCTTCAGAAATCTGGTTATGTTTGTGTTGGTAATTTAATTTGCATTTTCATTTGTTTTTGAGCTTGTGCTTTCATCTGTTGATATATTCCTTTATGCCTAACAAGTTGAGTGGTATTTCAGCCTTTACAACAATATCCATAACCCTAGCAAGTTGAATGTGGGAGCCGACTTCCATTGCTTCAAGAATAAGATTGAGCCAAAATGGGAAGACCCCATTTGTGCCAATGGTGGTAAATGGACCATCAGTTGTGGCAGAGGAAAATCTGACACATTCTGGTTGCATACTGTAAGGATCTTTTGCATCATTTTTGTTGCAGAATTATCTTTTCTGTAACTTCCGCCCTAATTCCCTTTTCACAAATATTATGTTTAGTTGCTGGCAATGATTGGTGAACAATTCGACTTTGGTGACGAAATTTGTGGAGCAGTCGTTAGTGTGCGTCAGAAACAGGAAAGAGTAGCTATCTGGACCAAAAATGCTGCCAATGAAGCTGCTCAGGTATGTATAATAAAATGCACACTATAAAACTGTTCTTTGATTGCAGGCAACAATCATGTAGTTTACAACATCGTAATTTAAACTGTCTCGGATATAAGCATGCATAATAATGTTGTGACCTTGCATATAAAAGGAGTGACCTGACTGTAGCCCTTTACAGTGTGATTGTGCTAAATGTCAGTATGTATGCAATGCTCCCATTTTATGTGCATAATTGAATTAACTTATATTCCTGAAAGGATGTGTGCAGTACAATTTGGACAGCAGAACATTGTGATGAAACTTGACCTGTTATCTTCCGGTTTACTGTGTTTCTATGTCTTTTTTCCCCAAAATAAGTTTGTATTAGAAGAAAGTTTCACTATTTCAACCAAATATTCCAGCTGTGCTACGTAACTAACTCCTAAGCTATTTTGACCCTTCTTGCAACATACGCTCATTTGTCTGTGTTATTCTCCGGCTATATTTTTATGTCAACTCTTTGTGTAAGCATTTAGGGGCCGTTTGGATTGTGACTATGTTTGCCTTATATTGCCACATTATTTTTGCCACACTTGCCTAACTTGAGTTGCTCAAAATTGGGGCTGTTTGGTTTCTAGCCACATATTGCCACACTTTGCCACACCTCACCTAAGGCAAGTTTGACCAAGTTAGGTGGGTGTTTGGTTCTAGCCATACCTAAGGCAAGATTTTTTTTATGAGCAGTGAACCCCATATGTCATATACACAAAAAGTGTGGCAAGATTCCCTTAGGCAAGCCAAAGTGTGGCTAACAATTAATTGTGTTAGCATTTGTTGGCAGTGTCCTCTGTAGCATCATAAAGTGTGATACATTTAGGAGATCTTTATACTCCAGGCCCCACTTGGATGGCCGTTTTTGCTTTCTGCGTGTATTAAGATACAGTTGTATCTTACCGGCCACCAACGAAATCCCACCGGAAAAAATACGGAGCCCTGGAGACGCTAATTTCTTACGGATGTAAACGAAAGAACGATCGTTTTGGGCTGCACCTAAACGACCAACCAAGTGTGTTTTTCCAGCTGGAGGGAAAAAACAATTCGGAGCCGTATTTGACGCTGGTTTTTGCCTAGAAAACGGCCATCCAAGCGGGGCCCATTGGATGGCAAGACATGTTTATTTGAAGCTCCATTAATAAATGTTCTTAATTCCCCAGCATAGTTCTATTTATTTTCGCTCATATGCACTCATTCATTAGCATTCTGCAAAATACTCCCACGTCATTCTAAATCAATCATCAGAGGGTAGCTGGGTAAATTCTATCACCTATCTCTACGAAGTACAAATAGGTGAGGGAGTACTATTAACGGTTTTGTTTTCTGTGCTGCCGTGGATATATGAGCATATGTACTGTCTAGTTTCTGTTTGTATCATTTCCAGCCAATCATCGTTTTCTAGTCTCTGAACACATTCCCTATTTTATTTACCAGATAAGCATTGGCAAGCAGTGGAAGGAGTTTCTGGACTACAAGGACTCCATTGGGTTCATTGTTCATGTGAGTCGCTTGCATTTAAGCCTGGATTGCATTGTGTCTAAACTGCACCGTCTGACACATTCTCTTTCTGCTTGTTTGCAGGAGGATGCAAAGAGGTCTGACAAAGGCCCCAAGAACCGCTACACGGTTTGATCCCGTGACTCATCGATCATGAGGGCTTCCACAGCAGGCCTGCCTACTCTTGGACGCAAGAAGGTTTCTCCTGGGATAGCTTAGCTTGTAGCGGGCGGATGCTATTTCCGATATTATGTGTGTTTGCTGTGAATTGCTTGGAAGACATGATCTAACATCGTTGCGTTTGTCGTCATTGTACTCCATAAGTCACATTTTATGTTTTATGAAGAGTTATTTTATGAGAAGCTGAGTGTTAACTCTACTGCTGGATCCATCTTGGACGTGAGATGGTTTCAGTGCAAAGATTGCTCAATTATGTCTCCCTCTAAACTTAGGTGTTATGTATGGAATATGTCGCATGAAATTACAGAGAATGCCACAAGAAATTATGGAGAATTTACTGATTTTGTTCCTAACATGAACAAGTCAAACACTTCCAGAAGAAATAACAGAAAACATGGACAAGTCAAACGCCTGGCTTCCAGAAATTGACATGGTTGATACAAAAACCAAAGCTTGATGCACATCTGAAGATAGCAAGTGAAAGATGACTCAGTAGAAATTTCTTTGTTCTGGCAGTAACCATTCAAACACGAAATTTGCAGTTCAATGGTTTTAAGTTGATGAGGCATACAACTATGGCGTAAAGATGTTCCAAGCGTCGTTCACTTCCGAGTGAAATATCTGTACTGTTACTACATTATTAGCTACTAATTCGTGCTACTAGCGTCCAGCAAATTCAATTCCTTCTCACAATTCACAGCCAATTCAATTCGTGGCAATTGTTACTCAATCAGGTTTCAAGTTCAGAATATGGTCCAGGTAACTTGTTTCAGAACAATATTCCAGCTTGTTTCTCCATAGTAGCAATTGCTGCAGGGATGCAGTGGAAAACTGTTAAATTCCATGTCGTTATTTAACACCCATCTCATTGGAAAGCTGACGACAACACACACTCTCCCGAGATTTTCAGCCTCTTCCACAAATCATAAAAACTTGCGCAAAACTAAAGCAAGTGATAAAACAAAGACCAAAAACCAAAAGAAAGAAAAATTTCATCAAAGAACCTCAGACTTGCCTGCCTCCAGGTAGGTTCATCCTGCGAACAGGATCCTGGTGTCCAAATGTTGGGCTACACACAGCTCACAAGTGAAGCATCAGGAAACTCGGGGGGAATTTACTGCTTCAGTGGTCAGAGCACAGCTCACAAGTGAAGCGTCAGGAAACTCGGGTTGCAGTGGTGCCTTAGATAGAACCACAGTAGATAAAACAACAACAGTGTATATTTCTGTTTTTGCTGGCATCATAAACAACAGGGTCTTCTTCTGAAGTGTTATTGGTAAAAGTGTAAATGGTCAGCGATATGGTGTCATATCATACAAGGTTCTCAGCGGCAGCATAGTATACCAAACTAAGATAACTAAGATTTCTCCCATGCGAAAACGACACATGATGCGCCTAGTTACAGTTCCATATGGCCTTGCCGCGGATTCTGCTTCCCTCGACGGTCCTAATTACTCGAGCCGCTCCATCTGTCAAATGAAGAAACCAAAACGAAAGTTAGCAAATAGCATGTGTTATGTTTCAACTGGATCTCTGCTCCCCAAAGAGCTTGATGCGGCAATCATGAACAAATTGCAAGGGTAAAAAGGACTGTCAATCATCATCTGGTACTAATTGTCACAAATCTGGCAAAGCCACTAGATATGCGCTTCAATTACAGCAACTAAAAGCAATGATTTAATTATTGCTAATTCATAAGGTAAAGGGAAAAGCAGAGAGTACCTTCCACAGGCCATCATTTAAATAGTGCATGTTGTCAACTCCAATTCCTTTGTTGATGGTGCTTCTGCAAAAGCTCAGGATTTCAGGAGCAGCATTATGCACGGCCAAATGCAAGACATGATACTAGCAAAGAATGTATAGGATGTAATATTCAGGATTTTATCAGTATATCTGCGTAAGGTTCTGCTATGTTGAGATTTAATTTGCAGGTACTATCACATAGTATAAGATATAAAGTAAGGAATACCAAAGGAGACCACCACAAATGCATTTTTTTTTAACACATACTCCCTCCGTTCCTAAATATTTGTCTTTCTAGAGATTTCAACAAGTGACTACATACGGAGCAAAAATGAGTGAATCTACACTCTAAAATATGTCAATATACACCCGTATGTGGTAGTCCATTTGAAATCCCTAAAAGGACAAATATTTAGGAGCGGAGGGAGTACTATCATTCATTTGGAAACATTAGGACGGAACCTGACTGAAACATCAAAAAAGATGGAAAATGAAACCATAAGAGCAAGGTTCACGCTTCACAAGTATAATTTAGAGACTCCGAAGCACCATTAGTGATTAATGATTCGAAAGGAGCTTACATGTCTTTCGCTGACATCTTTGTGAATCCAATCGCCAACGCATGTTGCTTGCCTTCAGCCATTATAGCCTGACAATTATAGTTTTCAAGAGATAAATAATCAGGCTGCTGGTTGGCATGCTCAGAAGAAGGAAGCTTTTTCATCATTTTAAAGTGTATTAGGATGCATAGTAACCAATATCAAATAATTACAATACTATGAACTAGTGAAGTGCACTAATCTGCAGACAGCCAAATTTGACTCATGCGAAAATAATAGAAACAAAGACACTAAAATATAGCAAATGCTATATTGCTAGCTATGACAGTCTACTGAAGCAGACGAGATTCATTCGTAGTGTATCTATAAATGGATGAACTGGAATTTAAAAGGCTAGTCTTGTACCACTGGCGTTTCCTCCTCGACTTCATTGTCCAACACACCACCAGGCGATGTCAGTCCAGGGCACATTATGTTGGCACCAGAGAGAACAAACTTGATAGCACCTCTGTCCACTTGGAACTTCTTCATGATGTTAGGATCTGATCAAATGTAAGCATAAGTTAGCAAAACAAAGGGGGGCGGGGGTATTTTGGAATGCAGATCTTTCGCAACTAGTTGTGCCTGCATCCACCTGGTCATCTTGAAGTTTTAAAAAGAAGGAAACAAATCAGGGACATACGTATACATGTTATAACATGACCGCTTGCTTGCAAAAATTTGTGCACAAATATGGTATACTATGTGCAATTCAGAAAAGAAAACAATCAGGCGAATAGTATACAAATTATCCACACAAATTTGTATTGTTGCTCAGTACACAAATGGTCACAGTATTGTTTAATTCTTTTATAAACGCCCATATTACAGCACTTCATCTATGATATGCTCTGAAAATGAAAAAAAAATGGATTTTGACAAGGGTTGCGCCCGCAGCTAGTTGCTCATTCTTGTTTCTTGATATTTTGGTGTTCTGCGTTTACAAATAACTCATATAATTTCCATTCTGGTTGACATTCTTCAACAGGTAAATGTTAAGAGTGCTGGTGCTCCAATTCTCTAACAGATAGGCAAGCCCAAACATATATATATATATATATATATAAAAGAAGCAAATTCCATAGATAATGATGTACGTCACAGGGGAGAAACAACAGATGTAGCGATGGCATGCCAGAAAAAAATTGAGTGAAGAAAATTACACTGATGAAGAAGGCGCAGGGTTGGCATGTATGGACCATCGCGGATGTTGAAAAACAGTGGGACATTGTTCACCACCACAAGATTGAGATGATTTTGGCTAGGGAAAGAAACCAACTGCATTAGTTCTTTGGAGAAGCTAAAGTAGTCTTTGCTCATCAATCTAATCTACCAGCAATTACATGCAACCTAACCTATTCTGGCTTCTAGAAGTAGAAAAAAACTAGAAAACAGCCAATGTAACTCTCAGTATGTCAGAAGCAGCACAGGCATAACAAAGGCAGGCTATTAAGCAATAAGCATGCTAACCTATAAAGCTAATTCAACAGACTATCAAGCAAGCTGAATCAGAAAGATGGGGAGCCACAAACCATTTAACAACAATCATAGGCGACTTCTTTGGAAGCATGTCCTCCAGCAAGGGCTCAAGGAGAGGGTACTGCAACAGACAAACTTGCTAATTTCAGTATAACCCAGGAGAAGAAAGCAGGGTCCGCAGCCGAAATAGAAGGTAATAATTGGGGGGCCATGCGGATATTTTAGACATAACCTCCTCGGCGATGCTCTGCCGGATCCTCCGCTGCACAGACGCCTTGACCTGATTCTGCCCGGATATGTCTTCGGAGGAGAACCTAGGGACAAAAAAAGAGGCAGTTTTTGTCATGGTTAGTGCTGCAGGGTACAGAAATCTTGCATTGAATCCAACGGGGATTGGTAATGGCCAGAGAAAAGCAAGCCCGAGCCTCTGGTTCGGAACGCGCCCCTCCCTCCTCTCAAGCTCTCTCCCACGACGGCAATGGCGCCTCTGAATCCAGTGCTACTCGTCTACTTGGCCGCTGTTAGG